CATCCCGTGTTGGGATTGTCGATGTGACAAACTTCTATTTGCTATTACAATCGACGACACTACTTTTTTCGTGAGTAGATTTTCGACACTACCATAAACATGATCTATTTACCGTATTTCGTTCAAAATGATAAGGTACATGAATTTTCTCACTAGCGTGGCACTGTGGCGTTATGGGCAACGTGTCGAGATTATACGCTGTACTACCACAAACCGAGTTCGAGTCCCGCTGTGTGCGCTGATAAGACCAATTTAGGCGAGGTCGAAACTATAGTCCAATCCCGCCTAGATGAAAGTACCTTACGGCAAAGCAAGGCTATGTGAAACTAAATGAAAATATAAGGTCTATTCATATAATTGTGGGAAAATTCAACTGCCAGTCCCCTTATCACCTTAAACGAAATACGTTCCACTGTAGCTTACAGGCCCAAATTTCGTTCTATAGCACATGCAAACTGGTGTCAAGGCGAACCATTTGCGATTCTATATTGCAGACCATTAACTTGTCTACCCTATTATCTTAGCTCTCTTCGGCAAATAACTAAGAACCCAGGCTAATCTGGTTTTTGCATCTCGGTCGTGTTGTCATGGCGCCTTAGTTGGATACACTTTGTCCGAAGTCCACTGCTATACTATTTATCACAAATCCCAGCGTCAGACCGTGAACTTGGTACGTATTGGAATGTACCAAGTTCACGGTCTGACGCTGGGATTTGTGATGAATAGTACAGCAGTGGACTTTGGACAAAGTGCGTCCAACTAAGGTACCACTACAGCACGATCAAGTTACGAAAACGAGGTCAACCCACTTCTATGCACTGAAAGGAGACTGCGACCATACCGAAGGCCAGACCATTTTGGTTTTCATACCTTCCCATAAACCGGCCCTTTTTATGCAACATTGATAAGCCCTGCATGCGAGAAAGGGCACTCGCAGCCGGGCTGCGCCTCATCCTCTACACCCACTGAAGGGGCTTCGAGTCAGAAAATGCGAGTTTAGGCTCCAATCATTGTGAAGTCGGTACCGCTTTTGCGCATCCCTGCCCCATTTTCAGGTGCATGTGGGCTCAGAAGAAGCCACAGCCCTCGCTCGGCCAGACGCCCTCAGGACAGAACGAGTCGCCCAGCCGAGTCAGGCCTAAATGCTCGCCAGAAGATATCAAGTTGGGGAGTAAGCCTTATTCGTGAACACTCCCTCGGGTGGAATGTCAAGTGGATATCGGAGTGTCCATAGTAGCAAAGAAAACGAGCACTTTCTGGCAAGACGAATGGCATTTGTGGCCCAAAATAATTTTCAGATAACCTCCAAATTAAAAGTCCTGCCAGTCACTCGACTCGACAGAGCCGGAAAACTCTGGAACAATCACCAGGTGGAATAATAGATGCGTCGTTGCCACAACGATAAATGCGAATACCGTGGAGAAAAAGACTTATTCACCTTTGAAACTATCATAATTCAGGCAGTACCGAACACAATGATAGAATTGAAGCAGTCCTCTTAACGGTGAGTTTATCAAGACACCATGGCCGCCGTTGTCAGGACGTTGGCAGAGAGGAGTTTAAGTTGCCAGCTATTTCAACGGATGATAATAAGGGTCAAAAGGATATAAATCTTCATAGAAGTGGGTTGACCTCGTTGTCGCAACTTGGTCTTGTTTTCAGGGAGACTATGTAGAACGCACCGAGTCCGAAGTCGTGTGCCATAGTCGTTGTCTTTATTCCCAGCATCCGACCGTGGACTTGATACATTCTCAAACGTTTCGCCGGCCTCGTAGTCGGCATCGTCA